CTTTAAAAGGGGAGGAAAAAATAAGTTTGAACAAGGACTTTTATGTGTTGGATCATAGAGGGACATCGTATGTATTTTCTGTAAACGGTAAAATTGAAACAGTACAACATTACAGTTTTAATGGATTAGTTTTAATAAATTCGATAGAGTATAAATATCATGAATTACCTGGTTTGCATGTAAAGAAAGGTGATAAACTTTCGTTTAAACTTGATACGAATCCTAACGTTTTTGTCCATATTACTCTTCAGTGTCCACTGGAAAAAAATGTCTAACCCCAAAGAACAAGTCGTTAATGAACTTCATAAACCCGCAAGAAAAAACTTTAAACGGAGACATGTTATTATTAAAGGTTTGCATGATTTGTGTCAAGCAGATTTAACTGTTATGACACCTTTTGTTAAATACAACAGTGGATATAACTATATTCTCATTGTCATAAATGCATTTAGTAAATATGTCTGGGCGTCACCGATTAAAAGAAAAACGTGGTCTGAAGTCACCAATAGTATGAAAAAAATTTTATCTCAAATGCCTAAAATTCCTAAACATTTACAAACAGATAATGGGACTGAATTTTATAACCCCCACTTTAAAAACCTAATGTCATCTTATGATATTAATCATTACAGCACATATTCTAATTTAAAAGCAAGTATTGCTGAACGCGTGATACGAACTCTTAAGTCAAAGTTGTGGAAAAAATTTAGTCTGCAAGGTTCTTATAAATGGGTTAACATACTGCCCTCTATCGTTGAACAGTACAATAACACCAAACATTCAATTACGGGAGTCATTCCAAGTAAAGTAACTAATCGAAATGCAAAGCAGATAATTGCTTATAACTGGTTAAAAACCGTCGATAAACGTAAACCAAAATTTCAAAGAGGGGATTATGTTCGTATAAGTAAATATCGCCACGCATTTGCTAAAGGATATACACCATCTTGGAGTACTGAAATATTTAGGATTAAAAAAGTTCAGTTAACCAATCCGATTACATACTTACTCGAGGCTTCTAAAGAAAAGGGAATTAAGGGGGCATTTTACACAGAAGAACTTCAAAAAGTTAAATATTCAGACATCTATCTTGTGGAACGGATATTAAAACGCAAACGTAACCAAGTTTATGTTAAATGTTTGGGGTTGGATAAAAGTCACAACTCGTGGATTAGTAAAAATAATGTATAAATATAGAAAATTTATCTAACAGAATTTAGTTCGCGATAAAATAATGCCTGGAGCAGGTCTACTTATTTTACATGCTGTTTTGCAGGGAGTACTTTATATTTACCAACCTTACGCTGTAAACGATATTCATATATGTTTTGATAGAAATGGAATAAAAAATGTTAAAATAGTTGGCCATCGCAGTGGACTAACATGAGTCTTTATAAGCTAAATGGGGTAGATCTTAGATTCGCCTATATACCATATAACAGTACAGTGTACAAACTACGATTACCTTTTCCCAATTACCTTAATGATGAAACAGAATGGCGTCAGCTCTACATCTCTTCTGGTGCTACTCAAGTTGGTGGGGAATATCTATCAAATATTTGTTTATCCTGGTATTTAGTTATTTGTGTTACTTTTTTACTTTTAAATGTAATTATTAGATGTGTTAAACATTTTGTAATTCATTTTTTTTTTTTTTTTTTTTTTTTTTTTTTTTTTTTTTTTTTTTTTTTTTGTGACAAAATGAATTATAGTAAAACAAAAACCATGACTAATCAACCAGAAGAACTTATGATTACAGTGGCACAAACAAAAATAGAACAAGTAAAAGAGTATATATATCTAGGCCAAATCACTAAATTAAATAAAGAAAATCAGACCGAAGAAATAAAGAGAAGAATAAGATTGGCCTGGGCATCATTCGGAAAACTGTCTTATATTCTAAAGAATTCAAAATACCCCCAATACTTAAAAACCAGAGTCTTCAATCAATGTATACTCCCTGTCCTCACATATGGCTCTCAGACATGGACGTTTACAAAGGAAAATATGGAAAAAATAGCAAAGACAGAAAGATCCATGGAAAGACAAATGCTGAACATTAAACTATCAGACAAAAAAAGAAACGAATGGATCCGTAATAAAACAAAAGTGAAAGATGTCTCAACCCAAGTAGCAAAGCTTAAATGGAAGTTCGCCGGACACACCCTAAGGCAGAAAGATGAAAGATGGACTAAAACAATTATACATTGGAGACCATGGAATCACAAACGTAAAAGGGGAAGGCCACAAATGCGATGGTCAGATGACCTGAAGAAACACGCCGGGTCAAAATGGATGCAAATTGCCCAAGATAGAGAGGCATGGAAGAAGGAGGAGGAGGCCTATATCCAAGGATGGATTTTAAGGGCTGTATAGATAGAAACATTTTGTATTTAATAAATTTGTAAAATAAAAATCTTTTGTGTTTTAATATTTATTTAAACCTACTATTGTATACAAAAAATCTATGATTTATATTTAAAATCGGAGATATTACTTTTGAAGTTTCTTCGATTCCTTTTTTTAAATCTTATTTTATTTATTACAAATATTTCCCAATACCTTTGTCGTGCTTGACGATATGCGTAGTTCCAAACTCGTAGAACATGTGTTTTGTTAAAATCATCATTAAAAGTTACTTTTTTCCCAGTTTCTGTAGACATTTTTTAATGCTTCTGGATACACGTACACCAATTCCAAAATATTACTTATATCCTCATAGCAAATTTGGGTGTTTGTCTTGACACATTTTAATACGTTTTCATAGAAATCACCTCTGTTGTTTCGTAGTTGCGGATATAGACTTTTCAAATATTCACAGAAACTTTCTTGTTTCAAATGGTTAATATAATGTTGTATAAGCGGTAACACCTCCCATAATTTACAAATGGTTTCGTATCCTAAATATACGTACGAGTTACCTTGTAATATCTTTATAACTTTTGCTTCTAGTACCTTTTCAAATTCTATACTATAATTTTTTCTTTTTATAGGTGTATAGTTTTCCACCGTGTGCAGATAATTTGTAATCACTCCTTGGTAGTATAAAAAATCTTTCCAATCTTCTTCCGTGAATACTACCCGTTGTCCTTGATTTCCATATAGTGATATTACTGGTACACACTCCGCACCGTACTTTAACCCAATAGACACAAATTTGCTTTTCAATCTGTTTAACTGAAAACTTCTTTCACCAATTATTACATCTTTTTTATTATCTACCCCATATGTTTGAACGGGTGTGTTACCACTAAAGTCGTATTGAGACATGTTTACTCAACGCGTAGACAGGTTAGCCTACCTTTTATCTTTTATCTCTAGTAATTGGGATCTAAGTGGGAGGTTTTTGTAAGTGGGAGGTATTTGTGAGTGGGGGGTATAACCAGTTATTCTTAGGGTGGTTAAATGTTTTACATGAAACAGTATTCGACATGACTTCTTACAGTAAACACTTCCCTGCTGTTCCATCGAGTGCCTTTTCTTCCGAAGAATTACATGATTTTCCATTACAATATCTTCAGTATATGAAAGCTTCAGATTTACGAGATATTGAACATAAACTATCAGATGAAGTGAAAAATAATCCGCATATACGAGCGAAAATTACTCGCTGTTATAATCATTGTCCTTCCACCTGTGATGGAGTGATGTATCCTCCTTCGGTCAGCGACTGCTATATTTGTATTTTAAATCTTGTTGAACACAATTCTTTATTAGAGCAAGTGATAACGGATCATTATCTTCGCCGTAAAGATTTTTGTTTATTTAACAAACAAGAATTAGAACTATTTCCAGCGTGGTATCCATGGGTTTGATTTATTGGATACATGGAATGAACTTCTACCACATATTCGGTGTAATGAAGCTATCCAAATGAAGCTACCTTGTTGGGAACATTGTTCTATTTCACTATCCAACAATTACCTACCATACAAATACCAATGTCACAAATGTATTACATAAAATAAAGTTAACTAAAATAAATTTACCTAAAAGCATTTCTGTATTATTAATAATATATTTAATAAAAGCATCTCTGTAATATTAATAATTGTTTTATTTTATTGACCCCTTGTTCATTGACCTTAACCGCTTATTGATCCCTTGACCGATCGTTGATCCCTTGACCGGTCGTTGACCCTTTGACCGGTCGTTGACCCTTTGACCGGTCGTTGACCCTTTGACCGGCTATTGACCCCTTGACCGGTCTTTGACCCCTTTACCGGTCGTTGACCCCTTGACCTTGACCCTTCGTTGACCCCTTGACCGGTCGTTGACCTCGTCAGTGGTGGGGGATATACAAAAGGGTGGGAACAGTGGTGGGGGTGTGCAAAGCGGTGGGGGGTGTACGGCTAGAACTCTCACCCATTACCTCACCATTGGAGAAAGGTATAATAATGGTGGGGGGTCGGTGGTGGGGAGTATACGAACGGTGCGGCTAGAACTCTCATTTGCCCTCTACTGGTACTGATGTGGCTATCAAGCATAAACGTTTTTTTAATTAATTCAAATAACCTGGGATAGACTTTTGATCGTTCCTTTCACTAACTTAACGGATCTTCATTCCTGGCTAAAAGCTAAATTGATATATTTGTCCAATTCAATTATTCCGGCTGCAATCAGATTATCAGAAGCACTTACGCTTTTTACTTCCTGATCAAAGTCATACCAAAGGTCTGTCTTAATTTTCTTGTTTTTGTGTTCATCCTGAGGAAGGGGTATTTCTTCTTGACTATTATCTGAATTAAGCTTAATGGTACCGACTTCACTTCTTAATTGTTCATAGGCTATTTTAAATTTATTTTCATCGTAAAAACCATACTTTTTTATCGAGGATCTAAAATGGTAGCTTGACATGCTAAATCATTGGCTTCATACATTTGAAATCTTTTTTCAATTTGCTCGATTAATTTTTGCACCATTTTCTTGACTTGCTCAGGTGCATTTTCTTCAACTAAACTATTACGGGACAAATAAATCTTTTTCCTTGTGATTTTCACCTAAGGAATGATTTTTGATAATGTAACAGTCTTTTCCGCACAAATTTTATTAGTGACATCTAGAAACAATTTCAATACTCGAGCAGCATACTGAATAATTTTCCAGTCATGAGTTGCTAAAGACGCATCCAAATCATTTCCCAAAATGGCTAATGTAGAAATTATGGCTTCTTTGATTTCCAAAAAAACGTGACAGCATTTCATATGTGGAATTCCACCGAGTAACAACATCTTGTTTTAATTTTAACGCTGGCAAATTCATCTTCTCTTGGGTTTGCTTTAGCTTGGTAAGGCCCTGTGAGCTTCTTTTAAAAAACTCAACTACTGATTTGACTTTTTTTTGACTCCACTGGCAACGCCGCACTGCTGCTACAATGTTAGCCGCATTGTCGGTTCTACAAGCCGTAATTGTATTTTCTAAACCAAATTCTTTCGCTACATTAAATAAAAATTTCAATAAATTTTCACCAGTATGTCGTTCACCGTAATTTACACAATCTAATAAACCCGAAGGCAATTGAAAATCCTCACTGAAAAAATAAACCGTAACAGCAATAAAACTCTCGTTATTAACAGAGGTCCATAAGTCTGTTGTTAAATTCACAGCACTGGCACTTTTTAAACGGTTTTTTAACTTTTCTAGTTCTGACAGATATAGATTTGGTATAAGACTTTCTGATATAGTTTTCCTTGTGGGCAAAGAATATCCAGGATTTAGGATTATCCAGGATTTTCTTAAGAATTATAAGAGCTTTTTCTTCATCTTCCCCTGCTTGTTCTACCAGCGAAACTGATTTTGATGTTGAAGGTTGATGTTCTTGAAATGTATTTTCATTTTTTTTTTGGTCTTTTTCCTATATATCTTTCAACATTGAGATTGATAGTAGGGTGTTTCATTCTTAAATGTCTTGATAAATTGCACAATGAACCACTTGCAATACTAATATCACATGAACAATAATTACACTTTTGATTTTGATTTTTATCGTTTTTCTCGAAATGATCCCATATAAAACTTTTATTTCGTCTGTTACTCATCTTTTGGGATTGATTAAGAAAATAAATTATTATAAAGAAAAACTAACTAATCATATAAAAATTTTAAAAACATTTAAACCTAAGCATACGATCGAAAGAAATGGTTCCGAACCGAACTACTTGTAGTCTCTAGTGAACTAGTGAAAGACTGACTGATAACCGAAGAAAACGAACGGCCGGCACCCAGCTTATTTGATGATTAAGACGAGACATCTGGCAACCAGTTACGTTAGGGTTGGATTTCTATTTCGGTCCTACAAATAGTTCTTCGCGAACTAGTTCACTGAACTAGTTCATTATTGTGAAATAGTTCTCTTGAACTAGTTCGTCTAAAAGAACTAATAAGCTCACCTCTAGTTAAAAGGATTTAAAACTGGTGTAAATAAATACGGGGAACAAGCATAACCAGTACTTTAACAGTAACATTCTTTTAATGTACTTTCATTAACAATGCGGGAGTCATGTGTACTTCCTCTCCAATGAGCAACAATATTTCTTATGTTTAAATGATTGTCACTAACTACCTAAAACAAAACTTATTAAATCACATTTTTATATAATCAAATCTTTTCTCCAATATTTCTCTTGCGACAAGACGGCATACATTAGTGATAGACTGCTGGATTAAGCCATGAATATCTGCTGCATCATCTTGAATCTACAAACAAAAAATCAAGAAAAACTTTTGTGTTAACAATTATTTATTATAGCAGTTGTATATACATAATCTAGATAAAACAATTCTTATAAATATACTCTCTTCATTGTGATCCCAATATCGTAAAGCGGTGAGTAGCTGTAGAGTAGAGAATAAACCGCTTCCTCGCGTGTCCACAATCAGTGAATCACCAATTTTCTAAAAAATTTACACCATCTTTAGAAAACCGATATTTTATTCTAAATTCTCTTTCGGTGTATTTTGAAAAGGGATTTATTCTTTCTTTAAAAGTTTTTCTTTTTCGTGTATTTTCCATCATGTTAATTAAATTATCAACTTCCTCGACAGCCGCAACACCTCTTAAACACATTTTTTTATTATATAGCTACTCATAAAGCAATACAAAAAATAATATATTCTTGCCACTGATCATTTTGACATTCATAAAATAGGTTATGTTATGTATTAATAATACTCAGACTGGTTACAACTTAACGTTTATTCCAATACGATAACAAAACTTGGCCATTCCCTAAATACGACTAAACTAAGAACTACTGAATCACAACTGTTACAACTACTTGGCCCTGTCTCTAGTTCCGTTCACGGTTACTAGTGACAGGGTGCTTACACATATATAATATTTCTCCCCCTTTTAACTACAACTTACAATAGATTTACTTAGTCTAAAAACCTAGCCGGTTTTTTCTTTACTCGCTTCTGATCTACGTACAATATTTAATAGCGGTGTTTCCGCAATGTTATCCTTATTCACGTCACTATCTTTTATTTCTCCATATTTCCTAGATAACGTTGGTGTATTAATTGCACTATTGTCCGTATCATAAGACTCACTAACGTCAGGAGCACTAAACTCGCCAATTACACCAGGTTCCTTCATGGATAGCTTGTCACTGTATATCGAACTATCTATTTCAGGAATTGCACAAACATCAGAGGTAGATCATTCATATGATCTACATGTACAAAACAGGATACAGGATATCAAAATATAAGTAACAGGACTGACTCTTACCTTAACAATGCCTTTGGACCATTTATCCTTTTCCCCTCTTACATTTTTAACAAAAATCTCTTCCCCAATCTCAAATTCTTTAAATTTCAAAGGATCGCTACAATTTCTAGTCAACCGTATAGTTTGTTCATGTTCAATTTTCCTATTTAAATTTGGTTTTAAAAGTGAAAATTTAGTTTTAGGTTTTTTTCGCTGATGACTCCAGCAGAACATGATTTCTGCTGGAGACATTTGCGTGGTGCTGTGTGGAATATTTCTATAATAGAATAAAAAATTGTCTAGTTTTTCTTGATTGGACAGAACATTAGACTTATCATCGTAAATTTGTTTTACAAAATTGTTTTTAACAGTTTGGATGCAGCGTACTACTGTACCATTCGAGGCTGGGTGTAAAGGTGCAGATTTTGATACTTTAATTCCATTATTCACACAAAATATTACAATTAAAGATTTCCTTAAAGAAGACTTCCAAGATAAACCCTCTTCGCAATCGAATTTTGTACGTCGACGCGCATGACGTCACTTGGTGATAAAAGTGGAACTTGGTACAACCTTTTATCATCACAGTCGGTAAAACATATATGGAAAGAGAGGGTTTTTATTTAAATATTTAGAATATTTAGGGATGCTAGGTAAAATATCTGCAATTAAAACTTAAAAATATGTTATATATACATCTCTGTTAGCCTAGCAACGTAAATTAATAGAATTTAAATAGATAATAAAATTATATAAAAAAGTAGGAACTAAACATCTTTTTGGAAATGGACATTTATGTACAATAGATTGATTTATTAAAATAAAAATTTAATATAACTGATAAAATAAAGTACACTGTAATAATTTACAAGTTTATTTAACAATTTATTTTACAATTTTTAATATTTTCTTCTTCTTAACTTTGGATGTTTCTTTAATATATCTGTAGTATCCTTGTAATAATACGACAATTACGGTAAATAGTTTTATTTTACTAAAATACCCGCTAAAGGGGTGAACACAAATGTTTATATTTTTACAGCAATTTTACAAGTGTCCTTTTTTTAGGTTGACAGCTGACGGTTGCCAGACAGCCGTCAGCTAACACCCTAAGGTCGGGTTCACACTGTCTAAGCTTACGACACTACAATACCTCCCCTCACAAATTCAAGCGCTGGGGTGGTTTAATATTACGCTTTGGTCGTTCACTTATATTAACCTGACCCTTTTCAGTTGTAACTTCAGATGCAGTCTGAGGATAAGGCTGATCAGCTAAACTTTCATTGATTTTAATTTCTTCGTGTCCCAGAGTCTCATTCGTTTGAGAATAGGGCTCGTTTATTGACTCGTTTAATAACAATTTTGGTTGGACATTCAAATGTATAGCACTAGGCCCCTGTTCGCCACTTGACCACTTATTTTCAAGACCTTCCCTATAAACTTTTTCAACCTGATCCTCCACTACATCCGATTGATTCCGCCGAATTTGATTCAAATGCCTCTTCCAAATCAAATTCTCATGAATCAGTTTACACAAATAAATCCTATCATTTAAAACTTCATCTATTACACTCTCTACCCATATTTTTCTATTTGGATTTCGATAGTCCCTGCACCAAACTCTATCCCCCTCGACAAAACTATCTTCTCTTTTTCCTTTATAATTTAAAATTTGATTTTCAGCTTTTTCTTTTGATGAAACCCCTTTTAGAGACAATAAATCTAAACGTGTACGTACCTTAGTTTTAAACATCATACTGCTAGGTGACATACCAGTAGTAGCATGTATCGAATTTCGATATAAAAATAAATATCTGTAAATCAAAGTTTCCAGTTGCACATTTTTATTTTTTTCATCTGAAAGAGCTTTTTTTAATCCTACTTTAACCGATTTAACACAGTTTTCTGCAAACCCGTTAGTTGAGGGATGAGAGGGTGGAGATGTTACAAACTTAACTCCGTTATTACTCAAAAAATCAATAAAGTTTTCGGATGTAAATTGGGTCCCATTATCCGTTCCTACTATACGCGGTATACCAAAACGTGAAAAACATTCCCTAAATCTACTAATAATATTTTCTGAATCAGGTGTGTTCATCACGAATACCTCTGGCCATTTAGTGTATGTGTCCACAATAATTAAAATTGTCTTTGTCCTAATGGGCCCTAGAAAATCAGCATGTATTTTTTCATAAATGTAGTGAGTGACTTCATCAGCTTAGCCTTAGGCGGATCTGGCCGCAATTGGCAACAAACTTTACAGTTATTGACCTGCTGCTCAATCTCGTTATCTAGCGATGGCCACCAGAAATAGGAACGGGCGCTGGACTTCATCTTCGTCATACCTTCATGATTACTGTGTAATTCTTTAAGTAACTGCCCTCTCAGTGCAACAGGAATTACCGCGCGATAACCCCACATTATAATTCCTTGCTCAATAAAAAGCTCCTGCCTCCTAGCTATAAATGGTTTCAATAGTTCATTTTCTGTATGCTTCGGAAATCCATATCTAATAAAATT